CGTACTTACTTCATGCAGAATTTGGTCTTGATTTCAAGCCTTGTCGAGTTTCAGCATAGAAAATGGTGGTATTTCAAGTCGACGAAAAGGAACACTTCCGGCACCTTCTGCTGCAGTCTGAAGGAGGCCCTGTGGGTTGACAGGCAACCACCGAGTTGCACTGGAATAACTAAATCTCAAAATTAAACGAGACAAGCTTTTAGGGAACCTAAATGTGGAATGTTTAGTAGAGGTTATGAGTAAGTTATAGTTACATTATTGATTGATTTCTTCTAGGGAAGTATAAAGTTTAGGTCAGCTGTCGGTTTGGCGAAAATTCGTCGCGTCTGAAGCTCCCACTTTGCATGCCTGCAAACTTTAACAACTCAAACAATTTGCAACAAGACACGACTAGTCTTTGCAACTTAAATCAAAAAAGGGTAATACCATTTTGATAAGATATCAGATATTACTTTCCATACTGGCAGAAGATGAGTATATGACAACATTGTAAAACGGTAGAGCGTCCACAAGAAAATATTTCGTTTCGAAAACAATGCGCACTACTTATAAGACAACCTAATAGTTCAGTTATGGACGCTTACCTCTGTATTTGTTTTCGCCATACCAGCTCGAATGTAGCTGTATTTTTTCGTTTGCAGCTTTCAAAGCAAAAGTCCCGCCAGGGTTTTTACCTTCAACACTTAATGGTGTGGAATATGCGCTAGCCCTAGTCAAGAACATAAGAAGTGTGACTGAACAAAAAACTCACCTTGGAAAGCCGCTAGAAAGGGAGCTGAACGGCTTCGAAGTGGGCGTGGTTGCTCAGTCGGCTGCAATCCCTCGGCCCGACTTCCAACCACGCCCACTTCGAAGCTGTTCACCCCCCTTTCCAGCGGCTTTTCAAGGCGTGAACGTTCTTACTGTTGCAGCCAACTTATGTTCTGCACGAAGCTACGCGCGATGTCCGGTGGCATTAGCATCGAAGGTGAAAACCCTTGCCGGGAGACTGCTGCTTTGGAAATCGTGGAAGCCAATTGAAATGCCTCACAGGGGAAAATAGTGAATTAGAGTTGTTCATGATTGACGTAAGCGACGACTGGATTGGTGGGTCCAAGATCAATAGATAGGGCGAGCTCTAGTATTCGCGAAATAGACAAGTAGCATATTCGATATCACGTGTTGCTTTTGAAGGCCGCTTGGGGATGTTGTCCAAGCTGCACGTTTTACTTAAGACTTATGGTGAAAACATGCTATGGAAAACTCACGTGGGGATATCCATTTTTATGAGGGTCATGTACCATTAAATAGGCAATTACGACAGGCCACGCTATATGGGAAACGAAGTGCGCGCATCCGTTCTGAATGCGACCAAACACACAGGGAATCGCAAATTTGTAGAAGAATTTTAAGAATTCTCCCATGATTATTCCTGTGCGGACGTACTGGACCAAATCATCGCTAGTTTACTTATCAGAAGGATCTCTTCATTTTGTGGAGGAACCAGTAAACGGTTTAGAACCACACCATTCAGAAAAACTATGCATTTTCAGGTTTGATCATACACGTTTTTTTCAGGAAGGTCTGAAACATGAGAGAAAAATCGAAGTTGAAGCAAGTGAGGAAGCGAATGATTAGTGGCTGCTGTCATTGTTCTTTCGTCAAAATATCGCCTGTTTCTCATTACGCCGATTCATTTGAATTTGTTTTGTGTTATGTGAATACTGGAAAAAAGACATTACTTTCTTATCATCTTTTGTCCTTGGTGTTATTTTGCTATGACCAAGAAGTTATACGTATCAATAAAAAATGCCTGAGGACTCATCAGCACTTAATATACAGGGGGAGGGGGCAGTAAAAAAAAGACATAGACATTTTGTCTCAAATGGATTTAATCACACTTTGCTCAGCTCAAAGGGTGTGCTCCCAACTTAGAATTGGAGAGCAGCGCATTTCATTTCATAAGAAAATCTCCATAGTGGCCATTTTCAACATGAATGTATCAGTTGTGATTACTGGAAACAGCACACAAAGTTTCACGCATGAAGATTCGGTTTCCGAAGAGAAACAAACTTACGAAAAACTAAGGACAATCGTTGTCTTTTCTATTGGGGGCGGGGACAACAATCGAGGGTAATTCGGGAGTAGCCAAAGGCGAGGCATGGAAAGAAGACGGTCTTTGGACGGCTAGTATCAGGGCGACGCAATGAAAGAATCGGGTTAAAGCGCGCGATTTCGGAGAGTAGAGACAAATCGATCGATAGAATAGGATGGAGTAGAAGTGTAAGATGTGAATGCAATAAAGAAGGCCAGAAAGAGTTCTAGTGAAGCACTCCAAGAACCAAGTGGAAGCACTCTCGTCGCCAGCATTTGTGACAGAATGTCGGCGGTAACTTGAACGCGTAGCAGCTCTTCCGATTTTCGATTTTTTTTTACCAGAAACAAATGCAGTTTCTGTTCTTTTCATTCTTGTTTTGCATGTTGAGTCTCAAGCCAGTGAATTAAGATCATGATTCCTCCGCTAAGATTCCTTTAATATCTCATGCACCACAACCGTCAGAATCGTCTCCGTCGCGATTAGGAACCTGTGACAATCCGTGCAGTAGATTCATGCAACTTGGCGTTTGCACCTAGATGTTCCCTGACTTGCAAATAAAGTCGATTAGCGGTTTTACCTACATATTCATCTACACATATGGCAGGAGATTTTGTAGAACATCCCCGCATCGCTCAGTCACCATTTTCAACATTGCTTCACTTCGCAACGCAGTAATGGTAATCCATCATATTCGTTCAGTCCAATAAGAGTTGGGGGTACATACGTGCACCTGGACGAAGGGGCATCAACAAACTAATGTATGCTATACGAAGTTATTACGATAAGATCAAATTCATACAGGGTCTGCATAGATATTCGCAGACAGTGCTGGTTATTGAACTGGGGGAAAAGGGCTTCTCTTCAAGACTGCCATTGTAACATTTCATGCAAGAATGGCTTCCATTTGCCGCTGCCCAAATACTGCAGAGGGATACCCTATTTTCCGGTGTATAAGCCCGCTAGTATCATGTAAAAACACCTCCACTGGTGCAGTGTACTTGAGTACATCTAGAGTCAACCGTAACATGCCCATAGGGGTAATTCGATATGCTGATCACGAAAACGACATTCGTTTTTAGCGGTGGCGGCATCTGGCGCCAGTTGGCGCCACCTTGTCACGACCCTTGTTTTCGCCAAAATCGGTGTAAACTTCAGTATAGGGGTTATTTGGGACCCTGATTACGAATATGACATTCGTTTTTGGCGTTAACGTTGTTTAGTGCACATGTCTCGGTTGGAGAGCGCAGACGAGCAGAAAATAGGCGTCAAACAGCGCCAGCGCCTATAATGAATGTCATATTCGTAATCAGGGTCCCAAATAACCCCTATACTGAAGTTTACACCGATTTTGACGAAAACAAGGGTCGTGACAAGGTGGCGCCAACTGGCGCCAGATGGCGCCAGCGCTGAAAATGAAAGTCATTTTCGTGATCAGGGCATCGACTTACCTCTATAGGCAAATTTGCGGTGGTTTCTAAGGTGTACAAAGTTACACTGCGCGAGCGGGGGTGGTTTTACGTGAAATCGGCGCGGGCTTATACACCGGAAATTAGGGTAATAACCAGGTGTCGACAAAAGATCTGGAGAGCTTAGGTGTTTTTTATTTTATTGTTTTGGAATTAAATAGCAGATTAGCGTCAACACCAGTGGGAACATTCGCGCCAAGACGTTCACAAGAAATAGTTGCTAAAAACGGCCATATGTCTGTAAGAATCCTTATTGCTGGAGGACACTTGCACACACATTGCCGTGATGATATTTCGAAAGCAACAAGAGAATATGTAATTGTATGCGGGAGTCGAATGGAAGCAAGGGGAGATGTAGCCGAAAAGATTGCCAATGTAGCCAAAAGCAGCGTGAGCCTGTAGAGAAAACCCGCGAAATGAACATTCCGCCTCTTAGCCTTCCACGGGGCCGACGATCAGAAGTGGCTGTTTTGGTGAGAACATCCTGAGAGAATAAACATAACAATATCACAATATACCGCCCTTTGGTACAAAATACCTTTCCGAAATGGGAACCGAACGGCAAGATGAATAAGACATAAGCTCAATGCAGGATCCACGACTACAGAACGAAGGTCAAAGAACGGGGAAACTTGCCTGGTGGAGGAGACCCGTCGCCGACCGTACCCCATTGAGCTGCGAAAGATTTGTTCTCTTCCGACAATCTTAGCAGTGCGCTCATTCTTGGCGCAGCTGGCGCGTACGCCAATCGACACTAGAGAGAGGGCTAGCGTTGTAAGAGGCCACGATGAGAGTCGCATACACGGGCAAAGAAGGGATCCCATTCTTTGGGTGGAAGCTACTCATGGTTTTTCATTCTTTCTTGTATCACTGACCATCCCCAACTTTTTCGAAATTCGAAAGGGGGTGCCATTTTCAGCATGATTTCCGCCTTTAAATGGCCACGCTTAGGGGCGGATCGGTCTTGAAGTAGATACGCCTAGTAAGGTGGGGAACAATTCGTTTACAGGAACGATCGGGATGAGGATTGGTGTGTTATTTCCTTAAAAAGCTAAGGCAGGGAACATTAGTGAGGAGAAAAAGCAAAAAGCACCATAGAAAACACTAATTTCCCTTAGGAGGCCGGCCGTAGTACGACGGAGAGACACAGCGCTGCGAGGAGAGGGAGAACGCGAGATAGTACGTCGTACGCGAGAGGGCGCAGAGACCACGTATGCCGTGGTGATAAGGGTGGCAGCATAGCAGTACACAAGACCTCAGCACCCTCGCAGCGCACTTTTAAGTCGCGGCAGAATTGGAATGGACTGGAATTCACTTCCATAAGTGCAATTCTCAGGTCTTGACCCATCTCATCGCACTTACTGCCTCTAAATGAGGATCCAGATGATTCAATTCGAAGTTGATAGGTATGAAATACTGTTGAGTACATTGTATTGTGAGTACGGTATTTTTGCAATTCAATATTTTGCTCGAAAAAGGTGGAAGTTCAGCAGGATCATCGCTTCTTGTCTGCACCAAACACCTCGTTGCCTCCAATACCGGCCAGAGTTTGATAGTTCGGGTCGAACGTGCCTGCCTTTCGCACCCTTTAATGAAGAAGTTTTTTGAAACTGAGACGACAGCAAGGTAATGGCTTGCATGTGAACATACGAGGTTTGCTGGTGCTTTCGGTGCAGCAGGCTTGCCGCCACCTCCTCCCTTTTTGTCGGCACCAAATACATCGCCACCGATTCCAGCCAAAGTTTGGTAATTGGGATCAAATGTTGCGGCTTTGGCGGCCCTAAATATGATTAAGTACTAATTAATTGAAAACTAGTTAGCGGTCCATCAAAAGGTTTACTAACAAGGAATGGTCAATTGGTCGGTCCGGCCATTTGTAATGAGGTGTAGTCCGATGCACGCGTCTTGCGACGCTGAGCTCAAATCCGTTTTCGGTTTTTGCCGAACGATTCTCTGAACGAAGTTACGAGGGATTCTTCTCACTGTGGCTATCTCACTGTGGCGCCCTCTACATCCCCCTATCCCACTTGGCTCGCGTAAAAACAGAACGAACGAACAGAACGCATAACAGAATTATAAACGCTTTCTGGGCTCGTATGAGCAGCCTTGAAAAAATGCAAAAGCTTGCCACCGACAAGGATTCGAACATTGACCTCACCCTATGAAGCAAGAGCGCTATCCACTAGACCACCATACCCACTGCATATGATGCTCTGCGGCTCTTCTTAGCCGAGTGGGACAGGGAATGTAGAGGGCGCCACAGTGAGATAGCCACAGTGAGAAGAATCCCTCGTAACTTCGTTCAGAGAATCGTTCGGCAAAACCGAAAACGGATTTGAGCTCAGCGTCGCAAGACGCGTGCATCGGACTACACCTCATTACAAATGGCCGGACCGACCAATTGACCATTCCTTGTAAGATGATAAATTCCACAAACCTGATTCGCAGGAGCTTTTGGTTTTCCTCCTCCCCCTCCACCACCACCTCCAGCCGCCTTCTTGTCCGCTCCAAATACATCGCCACCAACTCCAGCCAAGGTTTGATAGTGCGGATTCAACGTACGCCGCTTTCGTTGCTAGAACAATCCTTATAATAAGGGAAACGTTCCTCTTTTTCTTATAGTCGCCCGCTCGTTGGTTACCATCGCTAGGAGCAAATGCGACGCTTAAGGAAAATAAAGGGACATGACAGGCCATCAGCGTTTCTGGGCTTTCCTACAGTATGTGCCACGTCCATGGATTGTAGGGCAAAAATTACGGTAACAACATAAATTACTCACAAGAGGCAATGTTGCCGAGTAGTCCCCATATAACAACACCGGCGTATTGACGGAAAGTTGTCCGCCTAATCATACTAATACTGCTCTTGGAGTTGACGTTATCTGTGTTGATAAATAAATAAACAAAGCTTCCTAGAAAGTCATCGACTCTGTTGTGTAGGTGGGTGTTGTCGAATAGATTCAAGGCTTCCAGGAGTGACTGTTCAACTAGTCGATGTTGCCTATTACGCTTGTATCGCTTTGCCTTCGACACAATACAGAGCACCCCACAGGCACTGATTTGGGAGAGCTATGTTGTCACTTCTCTAATATGATGAATGAATTCCACGATATTCTGTTGGCATCGATTTTTGGTCAATCTCTGCATTGCGAGTGGGCGCCCAATGCACAGATTGACCAAAATGCTCCGATGTCCTGTGTTTCCTGTTGAGAGTCCTTTCGTTTTGAAACATCAACGAAACGGAGACAGAGTTCGAGACATACTATGGTTTCATATCTTGAGCAGCAGAGGTCTGAGGTGTCTTCAAATCGTGATTCCTGCTCTTATGATTTCTGCGAAAACCATCACTGAATGGCTGGTTGGCTTTTCACCAGCATTAGTTCAGCGCTCTTCTTATTCGAAACAGCAGAATATCTTCTCATCAGGAGAACAATCCATAAAGGAAGCTCATTACGGAAATGAGACAATCTCCTTAGCATCTTTGCTTTCTGTTCACTTTCCAGGCATCGGTTAGATGTTAGACATTCTTGTGCTTGTAAGCCCTTCGTTAAGGTTAGTGCAAACAAAATGTTGTAAGAAGGTGCGCTTGAAAGCAGTTTCAGCGACCAAACGACAGATTGAGCGAGCTGGCTTCCAGCGTTTCTTCGCACGTATCTTCGATTTTACTCGTGAAATCGTACAAGTAATCCTTTCAGGTCAAGGCTAATTGATGCTGGTAGACAGCCTAGTAAACTTTGTAATGGTGATCGACGGAAGTTTCGAAGTGCTTCTGAATCGCCTTGCAATGCAACACAATCAAACAGCTCGTCGTAGCAAGTAGTGACCGTTTCTCGAGGAGTAAAAGATTATCCATTTTGGAGTTGATATATTGCGTGTGAGGAAATCAAAGATGGCACACTGTGTTATCAAAATATACATAGAATGGACATCAACAACTCCTGGTGTTTGAAATCAAAAGTTGACAGCCTCAACCTCTTGTTACCGTATTTTTTGCCCAGACTCTACATAACGAAGTATGGAAGACAGCCAATGTACAAGTCAATAATATTTCTGTCCTACCAAACAAGTGTGGTAGCAATGGCCAGAAGAATGGGCAAGATGAGTCTGGCCCCAGTGGTACCCAAGATTTGGTTCTTGGCCCATGCTCGTGGTAAGCGGTGCCACTTGCTATGACGCCACTTTTCACCTCTTCCCTGCCAACATACACTGCGACGCATAATTATAGTTCCACCTACAATTTCAGTACCCGGCTGGATATCATTTTCTCACGATACGGCGCTTATCTCAGTCGGATAGTAATCAGGGTTCCTCCCAGTCATATCCTGTAGCATCCTTGAGAAATTTGTTCGTTATGAAGTCACCCCGACAAATTCCAGCGGAGCTGACACTTTGACAATTCCTGCGTCTCTTTTGCTAGGATTTTCCTTTTACGGAAGTGTGACAGCGGTTTTTTCGATAAACTAAGGATAAAAAATTGTTGCTTCTTCAAACTGGATTTCTGTATT